TCTGTCTGTCTGTCTGTCTGTCTGTCTGTCTGTCTGTCTGTCTGTCTGTCTGTCTATCGATCTATCACACCTAATTTGAAAAGGATTCAGCTTGGCTTGGTGTAATTGTAGATGCTCTGCTTTTGTAATTAAATCAGTTGAGTATTCCAAAACACCTCCTGACTGTTGTTCTCTGTTGCCAAAGGAGCCTACGTGAAAACTGCTCGTTTTAACGAGTCTGAAAACACATCTGTTCTAATCAAGCAGTAAATAATAATGGCTTGTGGTTCTAGGAAGGTATGATAAAAATGTTATTTTTAAAACCATAAAATGTAACCAAACCTTATTACACAAATCGTTTGGGTCTTCAACCCCTCTAATGAGTCTGTCATGCTGCAAACAAGTAACAAACCAAAATATTATCATTTATTAGTTGTATTACGAAGCTTGTTTTTTAGATTCCAGCACTGTAGAGAGATCTTGGAGAGACTTCTACAACTTTGAGAAATTGGAAGGACACATATGGCTCAGCTTAGGGCTCTGTAAGCCTCAGTAATTGCACTTGGCCTGCAATCAATTATGTGCTTCAAGGATGTGGAAAGGCCACAATTGCTAATAGCAAAAGTGTTGGCTGGGTTTATTTCGGAAAGTGATACTGCCATCAAAATACTGACCAGTATTGGGACACTGGTAAGACCTGAGGTACTTGAAGTATTGTTGAGCTTTCTTGTAGTTGTTGGTTCCTTTAACCTTACAGTACCTTCTGATGTTCTTACATTTTTAATTATTTATTGAAGGAACAGGATATGTTGTTGCTGATTGTTTTTAATGTTGTATCCATGCACTTAAAATATATTTTCAATCAAGTGTATCAGCATGTCCATTAAAAACACTCTCCAACTTAAAGTATATGGTAATACATGCATTCAAGATGAAGGAGACATTAAGCTATAGGCAAGCTTTCACCTCAAGTAGTTTTCATGTTGGAATGCATATTCTATCTTACTAGTCCTAATGCATCCATCCATCCATCCCTCCATCTATCCTTCCATCCATCCATCCATCCATCCCTCCCTCCATCCATCCATCCATCCATCCATCCATCCATCCATCCATCATCTTTACCCGCTTCTTCCTTTTTTGGTTGTGGGGGTCACTGGTGCCCATATCCATCAGTCATTGTGCAAGAGGCAGGGGACACCCTGGACAGGTCTCCAGTCCATCCCAGGGAAACAGAGACAAACGAGACAAACAACCATTCACTCTCTCACTCACACCTAGAGACGAGTTACCAATCAGCCTAACATGCGTGTTTTTTGTTTGTGGGAGGAAACTGGAGTACCTGGAGAAAATCCATGCATGGATGTAAAGGACATGCAAATGCCACCCTGAAAGGTCCTGGGCCAGGATTTGATCTGGCGACCTTGTCGCGGAGAGGCAACAGCTCTACCAGCTGCACCACCTTGCCCATCCCCTCTACAGCATCACTTCTGAATTAGAAAATGTAAAAATTCATCTGCACAAGTGCTCTGTTGGTGTTGTGCAGGAATGTATTGTAATTCTGTTGTTCAACTTGTTTCTATCACGAACTGACAAGTTTTAAACCCTAAATAAGCAAAAACGAATGCATGCACAAGGAGAACATGCAAACTTCACACAGATAGGCCAGAGCCAAGTTTTGAACCTGTAACCTTTTTTGTAGTGAGAGCAAATTTCTAAAAAGATGTGAAATTGACTTTTTTTCTTCTTCATAGGAGGCTCCACTGTCTTAAACATTGAAAACTAAACACCAAGACTCAAAAACATTACTGCAGTCTGCAGTTTGGCTGTATCAGATTAAGTAAAATTAGTCGGGCATAGCCTTGGAATCTGGCATAATAAAAAATAAACAAACAAAATGAATTAATAAAAGCAAAATAAGTTGTTTTGATCAATGACAAACCATTTGATATGCTAATATAATGTAAATCCTTTGCATAAAACAGAGAAACTGACCTCAGGTTTAATGAGCCTAAAGGTTTTCACTCGTCTATAATCCCAAGTTGGCTGTTACAGCATGCCTCTTTATTGTTTTTATTTGTAATGTGAATAAAGACAGTAAAGTTAGCATTCTTTACAGAAATACATGTCACCCACAGCCTTACAGGCCAGATAAAGAACTTCTTAAATCTGTTAGCGTTTACAATACGTGATGGAGTAACCAGTTGACCGACTGTACAAATTTTAATCTAATAGTTATAAAAGTGGCAAAGCTATAATCATTTTTTGTTTGTTTTTAACAAGGTCAGTGATCTGCAGCACTCATCTTGAATCAATCTGACTCCAAATCTTAATCATTTGTAGATGTGAATCCATTGATTACTTCCTGGGCGCTTCAGTAAAATCTAGAGGAATTTACAGTACGCTCCCAGACACAGATTGGTCTATGGCACCAAAAGCTTACCTTCATGAAGTCAGTCTTTGGGTTGAGCATGCAGGTGCGAAAGGTGATGTTGGTGTAGTTGAAGGAGACAATGTCGAAAACAACAGCCTCGGGCACTGCCAGTATGCACGACAACACCCATATTATTATGATCTCAATGAGGGTGAGGAGAGGGATCCCCACCCCCTGCACTCTGCTCCAGGAGGCCACAGCCCTGTACCTGTGAAAAAGGAGGTTAAAAAGGGAACATTTAGTTCTGTGCATGAACAACTTATTCTGAAGATTTCTGAGAAAAACTAACCAGAGTCAAGAGAAAAAGAACAACTAGATACAAAACAAATATAATGTTATAATTCTGAGATATACACTGAAAGACTGAAGTAAAACGTTCTAAATGTATGTTATGTTCAGCTAGTCATGTCACCATGTCACATTATTTAAAAATTTTAAAGCATATCATCATACACATACACATTTCATGTCAGAGTTTTAGACAAAGATCATCTAATGTTGTGAAATGATGTAGCTGTTAGCTGCTTTGGTCCAACATATAACATAATGCAAAGTGTGATCTCATGCAACATTATGAGATGGCATGCTCAGAGTTTGCACTGGGAATGATTCTCAATTACTACCACACCACATTTTTATTCAAAATCTGTAAACAATGTCTGCTATAGCCATTTTTGTTTTTTGCTGAGGGCGGTTGACTGTGACGGCCATTCTACATTGATTTGGCTCCAAAAGGTACTGAGCCGTAACGGTATCCATTATCTTTTACCCGCTTCTTCCTTTTTGGGTCATGGGGGTCACTGGTGCCCCTATCTAGCAGTCACTGTGCGAGAGGTGGGGTACACCCTGGACAGGTCTCCAGTCCATCTCAGGGACACATAGAGACAAACGAGACAAACAACCACTCACTCTCTCACTCACACCTAGAGACAATTTACAGTCACCAATCAGCCTAACATGCATGTTTTTGGACTGTGGGAGGAAACCGGAGTACCTGAAGAAAACCCACACATGCACGGAGAGAACATGCAAACTCCACTCAGAAAGGTCCCAGGCTGGGATTTGAACCAGCAACCTTATCGTTAAGAGGCAACAGCTCTACCAACCGAGCCACCGTACCGCTTTGCTAACAGACAGAATACTTTATTCTACTAAATAATACCAAAGTTTTAAACACGGGTCTTGTGTGATCACTTAGCCCTCAGAGTATTACTTGGGGATCATTTTATCTACTACCACACCAAACCTTACATCCATATCTGTAAAACTGATGGAGATGGAGTAGTAGCCTTTTTTACCTTTGCTAAGATTGCTTTGCTATGTCGGCCATCTTGAACAGGATTGAATGCAAACGTTAATCAGCTGAAGATGCCACCTCAGGAATTACTTTTTGAAGGTTTCATTCAAATTCTTAAAGTAATTTATGATATTTTGCTAAGAGTACAGACAAACATAAACACAAAAAACAAACAGTCAGGGGAAAATTCAGCAACTTTGGTGGTGGGCGATAACTAAAGAGAACTTTAAACACTCAAATGCTCTCACTCACTTCATTGTTCAACAGAAATGAGAAAGTTTCTCTGTTTGGCAGCATACCAAGCACAACAAAGTGCTCCGTCAGCAGACTATCCAAATGTTAAGAATTAATACGGAGAGATGATCAATTGTTTATTTTTAATATCTAATATTTATATTTCCGTGAAGCCTCCAAACAAGCTGGCCCCATGTTGGCAGAGGTCTGTGTGTTGGCTTGTGTTTCCTGCACACCCGTTGTTTGCTTCACTAATCGAAACCACTTGTCGAGATGTTTTAGTAAAATGGCGCATCAAGATTTTATGGCGAAAACAATATATTTTTCATGATACATTTGAATTTCTCTGTCGAACAACAAAGCGGCATTTATATTTCACTAAGTGGTAACAGATCTACCTCTTTGTCTTCTCTTCATGCTGCATTCAAAAGATACAAAATAGATTAAATTACTTTTAATGCACAGAAAATAGATTTACCGTACTGTTCCTGGGGACTAATAGATTAGAACATAGATGACCAACGCTGCAGAACCCTCCTGTCTCATAATGGAGGTCATTAAAATTGTCTGGCTGCTCGAGTCTTGGAGTCTGTTCAAAGGTAGGCAGGTCTGTTTTCTCTGAAGTCATATGGTGCATTAAGTGAAACAACAGTGAACCTCAGCACTTCAGCATCATCATTTATTCAGTACGGGATGTCTTGAGGTACTGATAAATAATAATTTATCCATATGCTTGCCCTCTTGACAGCAATGTTGACATCACATGATTAAGGGTCTAGATTTCTCCTGAACTGGGTGATTTCAACTGTTATTTAGTTGTAGATGCACATCCACTGATTACTTCTAGAAAATACAATAATATATTAAAAAACGTCCAGAGGTTCATGAAATATTTTACTAAAATCATAAAAAAATTTCTGCAGATAAAACTCAAAGTTCATGAAGGGAAGACATTTTTTTTAAACCAAAAGGAGGACTACACAGTTAAACCACTTTGCTGTGACCTGATGAGCTTCCTGGAAACGATTATCTCGTCTTCCTCTCATTACTGTGGAATCAAATCAAACAGTATATACAACTAGCAAAAAACATTCCTGCATCTAGATAACTTAAATTGCATTAAAGGCAACTATCTGCGTACACTTAATCTTAAGAAACAGCCTTTTGTCTTGAATGGAATAAGAGTTAGCTGACTCGGTTAGACAGAATATTTTTTTTTATTGTTTGTAGAGTTAAAGGCTCTGTGCATCAGCACCAGTTTATTCATGAAGACAAAAACAGTAGTAATTCTGCTGTGGCAATACAAAGCTGTTGTCTGTTTAGTTAATCATACAATAATAAATTGATAATATGTTGATGACAGACAAAACTTGAGAAATTACACCAGTTTATGACATCTGGAAAAGCTTTTTGGGTTTGATTGAGTTTAGGTTTTTAGGAACACAATGCATGTGCACATAACTTTTTTTTGGTCACATTCATTTTTCCCTTTTCCTTATCTAAACGAAAAGGGCAGCGCTTCCCATGACGCTGCAGCCTCAGGTCTCCCTGTTTACCCATGGTTGTTTTTTTGGATGACTGTACTGAAATGTAACTTCATTGTGCTTCCGTGCAATGACAATAAAACTGATTCTGATTCATTAATGTTCATATAGTCTGAATATTTTGAAGTCAGCTTCTGTGGAAATATTATGCACGGTTTTATATTTTACATGTTGTGGTTAGCTCTCGGAGCAGCCTCAGTTTGGATAAAGAGGCTATTTCTGACACCAATGATAGGCTAACCTGTTGTCCAAACATAGCTGAGACCAAAGTCGATTGTTGCCGTCTGAAAAATGGTCCATTATCAAAACTTTCATAGCTGTTTATGCAAAATCCTGTTTTATGACCTTTTACATCCTCTTCAATTTGCCATTACATGATTATTTATATGCACTTTAATGCTTATGTACAATTATACAATTTAATTATAAAAACTGGATCTATAAGGCAGCTAGCCCTTTGGGAAGTGTCCCCGCTGAGAATAGCCGTTAGCTTGTGGATTTGCTCAAAGTAGACTTGTTTCAAAAGTGAGTGTGCTACCCTAAAATAAATAAACTACCAAACAAACAAGCAAGCAAATAAATAAATAAAAAGTAAATTCCATTCATCTATCCATCCATCCATGCATCCATCTATCCATTCATCCACTCATCCATCATCCATCCATCCATGCATCCATTTATCCATCCATCCATTTATCCATCCATGCATTAATTTATCCATCATCCATCCATCCACTCATCTATCATCCATCCATCCATGCATTCATTTATCCATCTATCCATCCATCCATCCATTATCCACTCATCCATCATCCATCCATCCCTCCATACATACATACATGTGTCCATCTATCTATCGATCCACTCATCCATCCATCATCCATCCACCCATGCATCCATTTATCCATCCATCCATACATACATACATACATACATGTATCCATCTATTCATTGATTCACTCATCCATCCATCCATCGATGCACCTATCCATCCATCCATCCATCCATCCATCCATCCATCCATCCATCCATCCATCCATCCATCTAGCCATCCATTATCTTTCCCAGCTTTTTAATTTTTTGGTAGTAGTTATTCACACAAATGCTGTTTTAGTAACACATTTTTTTACATCCCAGGCTACATACCAACCATTAGTGCCATGTAAATAACTGTGCACTGTGAAACTGACAATGGTTTAGGGCAGGACTATTCAACTGGTGGCACGGCGGCCAAATCAGGCCCACAGGTAAACTCCAGTTCGGCCCACCAATGAGTTCATTTTGAAATAAAACTAGATTTTAAACTGTTAAACAAACTTACTTAATGAAAATAACTGCTGGATATCCGGCCCCTGACCTCTTGGCTTTCAGTAACTGTGACCCACTGAGCAGTTTAGTTGAATAACCCTGGTTTAGGGTTTATAGAACAATGTTTGCATGAACAGCTATAAGACTGGACAGAAACCCATTTTCCAAACTGTCAATTTCAATCTGACAGCCTAGTTGAACCCCATCAGATTTCTGCCTTAGTGGGACAGTTAAACCAGCTGCTGTGACTAAATGGTGAGGAGTTTTATTATACTGACCTGTCCACGCTGAGAGCACACAAGTTGAGGACAGTGATGCCAACAGAAGCCTTCTGCAGGAAAGGAAACAGCTTGCAAAGACACAGGCCGATCACATTGTCATCAAATGGAAAACGAGATGCCAGCAACTGGTGAAAAGATACAGGATATGGATTAATGTAATATTTTCTTCTGCGTTTTCACTGCATTTTTCTTAGGCGGAAATAAAATATTACACTTTATGGCAAAGAAAATGTATGAACATGTGATTTAAAAGAGAATTTAGATAACAGTGGTTCCCAAATCTGATCCTTGAGGAACACCATCCAGGATGTTTTAGTTGTTTCTCTGTTTTAACACACCTGATTCAGTCATTTAATGACCCTCAAGTTCTGCAGAAGCCTGCTAATCACACGTTCATTCAACTCAGGTGGAGCAGAGAAGAAACTAAACTATGCAGGATGGTGTTCCTCAAGGACCAGGGTTAGGAACCACTGGATTAGAGAATTAAAATAGATCCTCCTTGATATCTGTAAATACTGATTGTGACCATCCACTTAAATATTGTTACAAACAAGACAACTATTGCATTTATGGCAAACTAAACAACACCAACCTCTAGTATTTTTCATAATATTTATTATTACCTACTACCGACAGGCAATAGAGGACAATGTGTTTGCGTGAGTGTGTGTGTGTTTTACCCAAATTGTTGTGAACCACTGGATGAATTTGAATTAACCTTCCAGAAATTGATTGCACATCTACAATGGATTACCATTTGGAGTCAATCCAGTTTAAGATAGCACCACAGATAATTACAATTAGCCAGTTTACAAATTAGTCAGTTTTACGGATAGTTCACTAAAATTGAAAGTGGTAGTAGTTGAGTCATTCACAGCACATATTCTGAGCGTAGAGATCTTGTGATATGCATGAGATTACTTTTCTTACTGTTAATGTTTGACCATAATTTTGACATTTCTCTTCACAAGACGTTCTTGGTCTAAAACTTTGTCATGAAAGGGGGTGGGTGACATGCATGGATTTCTTCAAGGAGTCTAGGCCTTTAAATATATTAATTATTCAAAAGGATTGGTAGTAAATTAATGTTTTTTTTTTTTGTAAAATTATTTTATTGAACTGAATAAAATCCTCATGAAATCTACAAAAACTGATAAAAGCATTTGTATGACTAAATGTTGCTACAAAGTGTGCATATCACATTTGGGAATGCCAAATGTCTTGAGCGAGATATTTACAAGTTATCAAAACTATTTAATTTGACATGTTCCCCCCCCCCCCCCCCCCAAATATGCTCTAATTTACAAAGTACAATGTTTTATGTACAGTAGAGGATTAAAGCTATAATCTGACACAGATACAGGTAAACTCTTGTACTCTTGTTGTTCTCTGGTAAATGAGACTACGAGACTCAACAAGATTACCTGTCTAAACAAAAGTAAATTAAACTGCTAAGCTGTTTATGATCTTTTAAAGTAGTCATTCTCAAACTGGTGTCCCTGGACTCCCTGGGCCGGTGTGCGAGCTGATGCTGGGGGG